TTCTTAGGGAAAAGTCAATTGGGAAAGCCATGAAGGCACACATGATTTTCATAACAGAATACAGCTGATATATAACAAGCCAAGTAACACCAAAAACTCCTTGGGATTTGGCTTCCTCTGGAGGAATTCCCTGATCCCCCCAGGTAGTGACTTTGCCATAACCAGCTGAGTTCTTATGATATATTCATGCGGCCCACAGCAATCTCTGTAACTGAGACAGATGCCTGGACCTGAGATCCTGTGCTAGTGCACAAGAGCATCACCCTGAAGGGCAGCACTGCCAATTTGTCATCAGTTTTTAGATAAATGCAGTGCCTCTAGAGGATTGAAATCCTAAAGTTGAAAAGAAATTAGCAGTGTATACCAAGATAAAAGAGGCCAGCCCTGGTAGAGTATCAGTCTCAGGCAAATGGCACGCATCTCTGAAGCCAACCAGGTCATCAGGCAATGATTAATAAAGATGTATGAACCAAAGATTATCACTAAAACCACAAGTGAGCACGTCAGTCTGTGCATAAAGTCAGTGGTAGATGTCCTTGTTTGTGGATAAGAGCTGTGAGTCTGAACTTGGCACGAAGTATCAATAATACTCACTAGCTTGGAAATGACATTACTAATGGTGACAAGGCAATTTTTCCACAGTAGTTACTGCAGGGATACACAGTCTGCATTGAGGCCCAGAGCATGCTGGGACAGACTGTTGATAGTCATCCAGGTGAAGTTAAGTGTGGATTGTGAAATTCCTTTCTGTCCTTCAGCTCCTGATTAAAACAGGACAAAGGTTAAGACAAATATGCTCTTACATGATATTAGCTTGATCATTAGATACAATAAGCAGGGGCCAGTGTAACCTGTACTTCAGTTAGCGTTGTATTTGGGACAATGTCTTAATTCTGAAATATAAGGCTACTTAACACAGTATCCCCCAAAGTCACTAGTGTAAAGTCACATTTTATTGTTAGAGTTGAGGGTTCTGTGGGTTGACTCTGTGATTCCATTTATGTTTCTAGTACGGTCTGATCCCTTTGTTTCTTCTTTTCTTGACCAATGTGTTTCATTAGGGTTGTTCACAGGAGCATGGATGACATGTTATTTAGAGACACATAAGCATTAAACCATGAATCCATTAAAGGACTCTAGCTCTTTAGTAAGGCTGGTGGCTTGTGAGCCTCCCCCTGATTTATCTCATTTCTAGTCTGTTATGAAACTCTGGAATCTTGAACTCTGTGGGAGTCTATGGGAGTGGCTGTTCCCTATTGGTCCCCACCCCCTTATTAGAATCGTTACCTTTTTAAAGTAGCCTCCACACTCATCTGGAGCTGCAGTTGGGGCGCTGAGTGGAGAGGAAGCCTGGACTCTCACTAGGTGAGTTCTATGTTCTCATGTCTGCATCACTGGAAAATAGCTTTTCAGTGCTTTATTTATTATATATTAATTGTACAGAACAGCTGGTTTTATTATGTAATTTCCACTATGTGTGTTGTATACATTGATCATATTCACTTCTCACTACCTTCAATTTTTACCTGTGTGTGATTTATAGTTCATATAAATTATTTTATGAAGGAGCTATTTCTCCTTCTCTTTTCCTCCTCTCTTTTGGTCATCCCCCACTCCACCCCTCCCGTCCTCTATTCCTCCTTCCCCTTCCCCCTCCTTCCTTATCCTGGTCTTCATTCTGCTCTTCTTCTGCTCCTTCCCTCGTCTCTTACTCCTTTTTCTCCTTCTGCTTCTCTCTCTGTTCCCTCTTTCCTCCCCCTTCTCTTTCAGAATCACTGAACCAAAGGGTGGGGTTTAATGTATATGCAAGGGACTCTAAATGATGGGATTCAGGATAATGAGGAGTAGACATGGACTGTCCTCTCAGGAAAACCTAAGATCAATAGCATTCTTCTCTTGAATTGCATGTGCCAATCTCACAGAGAACTTGCAGATTCCTCCCAGGTGAGAACTTATATTTACCCAGACTCACCCAGGTCACGCTCCCAAAGCACTTCCCCAGTTGGGTTTTCTACCACATTTGTTTCTGTCTTGTGGAATCTAATTGCTTTGATGATTCTCTTTAAATAGCAGAATGGCTATTTCACATTTAGGATTTGTTACTTTATCTGAATATTTAATTGCCCAACACAACCTCTGTTATTAAATGGTAAGCCCAAGAAAGCAAATGGAAAAGAAAAGTGTGACTAACTATTGATCCCTGGGAGATCTGAGGACTCCATCATATACCAGGGAGAAGTTGTCTACTTATTTTCTCTGTGATCACAGATGTGTATAGGAGGGAATGAATGGGAGACCAGGAAACAGTTTAAAATCCTGTAAGAAGACATGGCAGGAAGAAATGAGTCTGTAGAAGAACAAGGTTAAATACAAACTCTGACACTAAGCACTTATGTGGCCAACCCTAGGCTAAGGTTCAAAACATTCCTCATGAATATGGAGAAGGCTAGCAGAATCTTAACACGTGCAGCTCTAAAACAGGGAGTTAAAGAGAGAGAGCCACACAGCTCAGCAGAGATGTCGTTTTTAAGGTGTAAGTCACCATATGGCTGCAAGGCAAGTGATGCTGAGGAAAGGCTGCAACCCAGGGAAGACAGGATGAAAGTCTTTGAAAGCCTCAGAATCTCAGAGTCCCTGTGAGGTCCCCAGGACAGAAGCTGTGCAGAGCAAACTAGAGTTCATGGAATAAACAAAGAAAAGCACAGGCAGAAAAGAAGAGAGTGTTAGAAAGTGCCTGAGAAAACTGTGAGGTGCCCATGAGAAGCAAGTGCAAACTGAGGGCAGGGAGGCCAATATCTGAGGGGTAAGAATGTTGCTGAGGCCTGGTGATACTGACCCAGTAGACGGAGCCCACCAGCTCTAGAGGATCTGGTGTCTTCTTCTGGCCTTTGCAGCCACTGTACCCATGAGCACCTACAGACAGACCGACAGACAGACAGACAGACAGACACACACACACACACACACACACACACACACACAAACAGAGTCCCTAGTTAAAGGCAGACACTGAAATTTCCTATCACATCACAAGTTAAAGCACTACCCATGACCCATGATGTTGACTTTCCAGCCCCTGAGCAGCAGGGACTAAGCACATCTGCTCACTGTGCAGGAACTGAGCTGCACTCTCAGGGTCTCCTCAGCATGGAACTGTATGGACATCCTCTCTCCTGCAAACGTGTGACAGGGACAGATTCTCACCAATAACTTTGTGGAGATGAAGTAAAGTTCCAATGAACAACTGCCCGATACGTGGTGTTACTGCATCAACCGCTCTGCTGTGAACACAGAACAGGGTCCAGTGTTCAGTGGGAAACAGAACTGAAGCAAAGAGACGAGCTCTTCTCCTGGGAGAACTAGGGTTTGACACAGCCAGGGTGACACCAAGCCATTGACAGCTTCTGAACTGAGCAGCCCAGGGTCCAAAGGACTGGGGAGGGACTTTGTCTCATCCCTCTGTGATGGCTCAGCTGTCCAAGTTCAACAGCTTCCAGTCCTTCATCACTAGAGGATCAGGGCTGCTCTGTTTATGTCCTCAGAAGGTGAAAGAACCAAGTCGATGCCTTGACAGGCCGTTCAGTCTTCTTTCAGAGATCAGGCTCAATTTTAGTTTCCCGAGACTTAATCAAGCAGTTTCTGCGAAGGCCACGAACAAAGACATAGTCCTTGCAGTAGCTCCCTTTTGCATGTACTGTGACTGCTCAAGGTTCAGCTAGTTCTTTACTTATGCCATCCTGTTTGCGGTTTTTCCCTTTAAACCCTCTCATCCTGAGAGCTCAGGGCCATCTTCCTCCACCCGCTGTGTTGAGTGTTGGACATGGACCAAGCCTTGGCTTGTTTGTTATCAATAAACACCTTTGTGTTTTGCATCGGATATTGGCTCTGTGGTGGTCTTCCTCAGGGGTCTCACAACATCGCCACAACAAAGACACATGGCCAGCTGAGACCTGTTTGGTGCAATTGCAGGTTTGTGGTCACTGATGGTGAAAAATTAGTCAACAACCCTCCTGGGTCCCCTGGAAGCTGCCCATGAAGAAGGCAGACTTCCCTCCTCCGGTGTTGTGTTATTACTCATGTCCCAAAGCACAGTCGCCCTGGCATTGACCTCTTTGCTTTTCCTTCACAGTCAGTGAAACCACAGTTGCTGCCATGGCCGGGAAGCCTGTACTTCACTACTTCAAAGCCCGGGGCCGAATGGAATGCATCAGGTGGCTGCTGGCGGCAGCAGGGGTGGAGGTAGGTTGTGCATTGTGCTTCTGGAACCGGACCTAAGATAAGTTTAAAATACTTCTGTAAGCTGAGAGTCTTCACACCAGGAAAACTGTAAACAGATATGCCCTAAATAGTAGTTGTCTTGGCTCGATGGCCCTGCCGGACTAAGAATGCAGGACTATAATTATGTCCACAGTCAGCCCCTAAAAGAAGTATGCCAACTTGAACTACCAGACCACACACTACAACTTACCCAGTGCCTGTGGGAGATAATGGAAGCATGCCCAGTGTGCCCAGCCACCACCATGACCTTCGGGCCCAAGCCTAGAATTGCTGTACTCTTGTTGATGGAAGAGCCCCATTTTCCTGATACTCCCCATAAAATGTGAACACCAACTCCACAAAAATGGTAATGAGAAGAAGATAGATTGATTTGAACAAATGAAAATCTTACTATGCTCTCTATCAAAGAACACATTCACATTAAAAGATGTTTTCAATAGAAAAAATCAGATACTTAATTTTTTGGTTGCTTGCTTATTTGAGTTGAATCAGTTAGAAAAAAAGACATAGAAATAGAAACTAGAATATTGGCTATTAGACCATACTAATTGATTATTACAGATTATGGTAAGATACTGTGACTTTAGGTGTGACCCTGTTCTTTTAAAAAGTGTTCTTATGCAGGGTGGTGGTGGCTCCTGCTTAATCTCAATACTCAGGAGGCAGAGACAGACAGATCTCTGTGAGTTTGAGGCCAGCCTGGTCTACAGAATGAGTTCCAGGACAGTCAGGGCTGTTTCACAGAGAACTTTGTGCAAAAACCAAAAGGGGAAAAAGAGTCCTTACATTTGGAGATTCCTGGTGAGGTGTTTGTGACAGGGACGTGTGACACCTCAGCTCTGACTTTAAGGTCAGAGTCACAGAGAAGATGGGCACAGAAGTGAACAGGGTGACTTTAGCTGGTGGTTGTTTGAGATGGTGATTGATGGATGGAGGCTCTTTGCACCTTGTGTGCAGTTTTACAGCACAGACCCAGGAATTTCCATGATAAAAATGGTTTAGAGGGGACAGGAGACTGAAGTGATGGCTCAGTGTCAAAATCCAATACTGTTCTTGCAGAGGACCCACACCGGATGCTCACAACCCCCTGTTACCCTAGCCTCAGAGGGTTCCCGTGCCTCTGGTCTCCATGGGCACTTACACTGCCTCCCCTTACACTCCTATAATAGAAAAACATGTTAATAGTGGTAAACTATACAAGAGAAGCTTGATGGAATTAAATTAAAAATATGAACCACAAATGGGAAACCTGACACAGAAGGCAGTAACAGCCCTCCTGTCAAAAGTGATCAATACTCAGTAATCAGGTTTTAGAGACCATCAAATGCCAGGCACAGGCCTGGTCGAGAGGGTATAGGTGGTGAATAAAACAGAGGCCACATCTTCAGGTGGCCCCCATGTCTATGAGCTTTCAGCTAAGTGTGTGAGTGGCCCCAGTGAGGTGTGGAAGCAACATTCTGAGGTTAAATGTTTTCCTTTCCAGTTGTAGAGCAGAAAGTTCTGGTAGGCTTTAGTGCTGCCCTCTAGAGGTGTCACTGGGAAAAACCCTTCCCAGTTCACATAGGGCAGCTCAGAAGTTGGCATTTCCTGAGAGGAAGTCAGGGGCACTTCCTGAGATCTTGACCTCAGGAGGCTTGAAGGATGAAGTGGTGTCCAGTGAAGGCTGCTTTGGTGTCTTCCCTCAGTGTCATGGCAACATGTTTACCTCAGCCATGGAATCACACATCCATTCCTAAAAGAATAGGGAGGGCTTCAGCTGGATCCCTCTGAATGAAGGGGTGCATTCGAACTGAGACACACTAGTGCCAGCCTGGGAGGATTGCTTTAAATAATTCAATAATTGGGTGCCAGTTACTTATGCCTGCTTTGTGGCTCAGGGATATGTTCTAAGCCACTGGACTGCTGATTCAGCACAGGAGGAGGGGGGTGGGGCATCTGCATAGAAACTTTCCTGTTCCATGTCCCAGAGTGACTGAGAAGGCAGTGGGCAGAGGCTATTAGAGACCCTGGCTCACACCTTCCAGACTCAATGTGCCCACAGGCCGCCCATTGACCTCATCACCCTCACACCCACCAACCTCATCACAGTTCAGCCGCCCTCTGTGATGACGTCAGCACTCTGTGCAGCTCTATGAAAGCTGTGCACGTTGTCCACACTCAAATTTCATTCCATCAGTTCAGTCCGGGCGGTTATGGAGTCATCCGCAAACTGCCTCGCCAAGCAAGGTAGAAGCTGATTTTCAGCCTTTTGTGAAAGAAAAGTTTCTTTAAACTCTGAAAGGAAGAGAGTGGTTTATTACTCTAGAGCGCTGGAGAGAGCAGGGTGACTAAAGATTAAGCCACATCAGTTCGGATCCAGAGTGGGTTTTCATTGGGTATGTGTATCCTCACACAACAATAAATTAATACGTATACATAAAACAAATAACTATTTAAAAAATACAATAACAGCCCCACAATGTAAGCAAGTTTGATGTGGGCCTAGAGTAATAGCTTGGTTGTTTTGAGTTCTTATTGCACATACAATGTATTATGGTTCCCAGCATCCACATATGACAGTTAAAACTGTTTATTACCCCATATCCAACTGAATCATAATCTCTGGCTTCCATGATCTCTGACCACTGAGATGGGTGTTTTCACATACATAAGACCGCTCCCCCCCCCAACACACACACACACACACACACACACATACATTCAAAATTTGTAAAACTAAATCCTGACGAAAATTTAAAAAAAAAGAAAAAAAAAACTATGTATTCCGGGCCATACCATGTGCCATAATGAAGACACAGAAAGTTCTATTCTGTTATCACTGAAGTTAACAGGCTTTCCTGAGAGTTCAAAACCTCAACAGTCCATTTCCCAGTGCTGGTCCTCCCATGAGCTCACTTTCTTCTTAGGACGTAAGCAGGGACATGGTGGGGTCAGGGAGGAGGAACACTACAAGAATGAACAGCTTTGTCATGGTCAACACCCTGTTGTTGATGGATCTAATCTGAATTTGCAAGTGGCCAGGTCCAGACACCTTCATGTCTACTCCAAGTTTTAACTTCTGCAGATGTATTACCAGACACAGACCACTCAAGTTCAAAAGTCTACAACAACACAGAATCAGCTAATGAAAATGCATTTACTTTTACTTTTTCTGTCTTCAGTTTGAAGAGAAGTTTATAGAATGTCCAGAAGACTTGGAAAAGTTAAGAAAAGGTAACACCAAGTGTCCATATGTCTTCAATGTGGTCCCTAGTTGAAGGTTTACCAGATGGTGATGGTGGTGCGTGGTGGGTGGTGGGTAGGAATAGTCAAGAATGGCAGAGTGATAAGATGTAGGTGGTGGGTTTCCTTGAGTGCTCTGAAAATGGAAACAATGATTAGAGAGAGGAAGTTAGTTTCTGCAAACATGTGTCTGGTGACAGGTAAATAAATGTTTTCTTACTATTTCTGCATCAGAGTGAGCTATTTCATTCAGGCTCACTTTCATTCACTTCTACCATCATTTTCTTCACCCATGTTGCCCAATAACTACAGAGGTACATGGCCATTGATTAACTCATGGGTGGACAAACAGCTGGGATAATTTTCTTGAGCATTTTCATTCAGGTTACTGATGAGTTGCTATCACCCCACAAATACAGTCTGGAGGAATCAGTGGCTCACTACACAGGAAACTGTCGTACACCTTATGTCTTGAGGATAACTAGACTTTCAAACTCCCTACATAGCTCTATTTGCATGGTGATCCTCTGCTGTCCCTCCTAACTCTCAAATGTATCCGGAGACAAGAACTGAACATAAAAACATGCATGAGAGATATAATATGAATCTGGATAGGAAATAACAGTGAATGAGCGAAGCTCAAAAGCCAACAGAAGATTATGAGACAAAGAGGAAGCCGGAGCTAAGAGTAAATGGGATTTAATTAAAGACTGGCTATCAATCATTTATCTTTCCTTTGCATGATCAGATATTTCAATACAACTTTTATGTTCCTGAGAAGTTAGACTTGAACACTTCATAGACCTCTTTCCTTTCTTTTTTCAAAGATGGGAAATTGATGTTTGAGCAAGTGCCCATGGTGGAGATTGACGGGATGATAATGGTGCAGACCAGAGCAATTCTCAACTACATTGCCACCAAATACAACCTCTATGGCAAGGACGTGAAGGAGAGGGCCCTGTACGGTACATTTTCTGTTGTTACTCCAAAGGGAAACAAAGGAAGAAATTGGTGTCTCCATCAATGAGCAAAAATGTGTCAGGCTTTGAGTCTTTTAGCAGGCTGGCTCTTGATATAAACACTTAGTCCAAGTATATAAGAGTAGACAGAAGAGAGGGAAGAGCAGCTGGTGTGGGTTCAGGTGAGTGTGACTACAGCAGAGGATGATGTTGCGAGCTCAGCTTGGGGGACAGAGTTGCAAACACGATGGTCCAAGGACCCTGAGTATGGTGGAATCAGGACTCCAGGTGCTCCAGGCTTCAGTGACTGGACCTCAGCCAACAGCTTAGGACAAAGGACTCAGGACTTGAGGCTAGAGGAGGAGTCCTAGGCAAGGAAGGGGGAAGGAGCTGCTTCCCACATCCCAGGAGTAGGAAAAGTGCAGAGCAAGACCTGAATTGCCAACCAGTTCTATGGACTGGTCAACTCAATGAGCCTTAGATAGACCGGTTCCCATGGACCAAGATTACCTGAAGCATTTAATTCAGAACTAAAGCAACCAGGCTGACTATACCACCCATTAGGGGACCCATGATGCTGTGACATATTCATTCATTCATAAACCACTGTGTATGAGTATTGCAGTTGCTCAGAGAGCTAAATGTGGTCCTAGCCAGCAACACTAGTGTGGGAAACATATGTCCATGGATAGAGAGACTGGGCTTCAATAGTGCTTGTATAGAAATAAACCTTCAACATTATTTATAATTTTCTCATGGTGGACTCAGCCCAGATATTCAATAATAGAGGAAAGAGGAGCAAAACATAATTTTGCAATGAAAATACCTGAAGTGCTGAGGGGCACAGAACAAAGGTCAAGTGTGGACACTGCATTATGTAAAGTAAGCAGACACCAGGGCACATGCTCCATGGTTCATTCCATAGGAAATGTTCCTGTCCTCCCCGTGGATAAGAAAGGAAGTGTGTCAGCACCTTCTGGAGCAGCTGCCACAGAGGCGGGATTAGAGGTTTGAAGGGAGTGAGGATCAAACTCTTCTAACATTGGAGGATGTTAACATGCTTAGACCGCTACAGATTCATGGAAACACAGAATACCACCTTTCTGGGAGCCAGCAACGGTAGTATGTGAAAATGTGACAGTGAAACTCTTTTCCAAAAGCACCTTGGGAAATACAGTTTAAACAAGGGAACACACGTGTCCTGTGCTGTGCTGTGAGTCAACTGAATAAAGAAATAGTCAATTCTTGACAAAAGTTAACAAGGCCAGAATCCAGCAGCACTGTGTGGAGGACATACAGATGTTCTACATGGAGAAATTCTAACAGTGACCAAGAATGACTCTGGACCAGGCAGCAGAAGGAGACATACACAGAGATGCATCTGGTGCTTGAACCAGGGCTCTGTGTTGAGCTTACATGGGAGGCAGCTTGTTAGCTCTGAGAATCTCAGCAGGGTTGTTTGGAACAAATTATGTCAGAGAGAGAGAGAGAGAGAGAGAGAGAGAGAGAGAGAGAGAGAGAGAGAGA